TAAAATTCGAAACAGGGCGGGTATTTTAAAAGATCTAAAGTAAATGGCATAACAGTAGCCATTATTGCTATACATAAAAGTTTATAATCAAATTTATTTTTGTAGTTAACCGGTAGCCCTTTACATATAAACAAATTCGTGAGACACCAGCAATTTGGCGTTGGAAGAAGTATTGTGAAATTTGCTAATTTTGTGTAAAATTTTATGAAGATTCATTTTCTAATGAGCGAAAAAAGTTTCGAAATTTTAGTTAAAAGTAAAACAACAAAAAAAAAATAAAATAAAAATGCTGTGGAAAACCCCACATATTGAACCCATAAGTACTGGCAAATTCTGTTGTTGCAACCAATACTAGCAATGTTTCCGAAAGATTTGACGCATCAATTCTGTACACCTGTGAAAAAATTGTTTTTTTTTTATTTCTATTTCCACTTCCATTTCGAATCTCGTATTACGCAAATCTTTGTTGCAAGCAAAACAAACAAATTTTGGTAAATGAACTTTGGATTCAAACTCATAGGAGTTAGTGTTAAAATATAACTATGACTAATCATATTTCTTCTAAAAGTTTTGCTTACAAATTTGTTTTCAATTTCTTGCTTCTCATGTCACTCAATGGAAAAGGAAATTGCTAAAAGCTGCTGCCAATAAATTTTATAACCATCTACATATTTAAAAAAAAAAATGAAGATCAATAAATTTCTATATTAATATCTGAGCAGTGAGAAATGAAGATCCTCTGATTTATTGCCAACCGCCCCTTAAATCAAAATAAAAAATAAAAAAGACAATAAAAAAAATCTAAAAATCAGTCTGAAGAAAGGCTCAACCGGAGACTGTGTAAATATGTTATGAGCTCATTGTATTTTCCAGCTGACATGATCGCGCCGTAAATATAGATATGTAAGTATGTATGTATATAATAATACTGAGCGTCATCCGCAGCATGCTGTAATGCGGCACGATCACTTTGCCGGTACCAAAAGCAATGCTGAGAGTCTACACTGCGGCCTACAAGTTATGCGAGTTTAAGTGTGCATATGTACATACCCTGCAGGTAGAAGGTTGAGTAGTATGGAAAAATTCTAGTTAAACACAAGAATTTTGAAGATGAATTCATAAGAGGTGGTTATTTGTATAGCAGTTTGCGGTTGTTGTTCCATTCTCTGCTTTGCTCTATTGAACTTCACAAAATGACGTTGATCCTTACATCGTCGCGATAGCCGAGTGTTTACACCTTATCGCTGTAGTGTATTAGACTCAAGGTGCAAATTTTGGTGCAACCAAATTCAAATTCAATTCAACTCATTTTTTTTATTATTATAATATTTTTTTTTTGACCAAGCAGAAATTCAAACTGGTATACAACTAGTATGAGGCTGATCCATATTCGGATATGAAATGAATGATGAAAGGCATACCAGTTGGATTCTAGTTAACAACTAGTATTCTTTCCTGCAGGGTACTTGTATATGTACATATGTAAGTATACATGTACCGTAAAATGAAACTCTTGTTGTTCTTGTTGGCTTTTCATTTAGTTGATCGGTGGCGAATACTTTAACAATGCAATGCACCGTTGCAATTAAATTCGTATAAAATTTATTGGATTTCCCATTATAAAAATGAAACAAACCTAACAGCAGCAGCAGCAGCAACAACAACAATTACAACAACCACAACAACAGCAATGTTAGCAATATAGAAATATTAGCGAATTGGCAATTCTGACGCGCTGCTTGAGCGATCTCATCAATAAATGCTAGTTAGTTTAGTTCATTCTGTAGCGGATGCTGCAATTTCTCGGTTGCTAAGTTACGATGAAGATGCGCTGCTTATTTGTAAAGAGCATCATTGTCTCCATCAACAAAAAACAAAGTACTCGTACAATGAAGATTTGTGAGATTTTGTAAGTTCCTGAGTTTGCCTGTCGTTTGCGATTTTTACTGTGAATTTATGAGCTCAGAAGAGTGTGAGCGAGCTGCTCTCGAAAAATCAATAGCAAAACGTACTTACTCAAACGCTCGTAGGTGTAGTAAATTCTCGTACAATTATTGTATGGTGTAGACCAGCTGGTATAGCGAGTATATTACATAGGATTCAGAATTTCGTATAAAGGGCTCCATCATCTCCGAATTAGAGGGGAAAATAAGGATATCAACATATAAGTATCATGTCGTCATTACTGTCTGAAATGTCAGCCCTGTCCGTAATAAAATAATCTTATACTATAATTGGTAATTGGTACCCCCAAAACTTTATCTAGTCGAGCTTTCCACAAAAATATAAATAATATTAGGTCAAGTAACAAGGCAACCCTACATTTTTGGCACTAAATTGGAGGCTTCATTTATTACTGTTTTACTGGATAGCTTTATGACATTTGGAAGGTAATATCATTATGCCACTCTCATAGAAACCATTCTCCCTATTGGCTAAAAGTTGGTACAATTGATTTTCACAGTCTTCTCTTGATACAAAATCTTCACCAGGCAAGTCATGCACTATAGACAGAAACATATGGGAAGCACTTGGTGCGAGGTCCGGACTATAAGGTGTGTGCATAAGAGCCTCCTAACTAAGCGCTTAGAGCTTCTGGCTATAAGGTGGATGCATAGAAGTCTTATAAACAAGCTCTCGGAGCTTACAGCGAGTCACCATCGGTGTACTATGTGGTCTGGCGTTGCCCTGATCTCCTCCTTTAGGCCAAATTAGTGCGTCTGGTTGATGAATTCCCACAAACGGTCCAAGTGCTGACAGTCTTTCGCTTTAGAAAAGCAGATCATAGTTGAAGATGCAAAACCATAAATTGGAGGAGGATCTTGGCCGAAAATCACTTCTGCGGTTACAAAGCGTCAACCAGATCTTTTCAGCAGAGTGGAGGTTTTCCTTTTCAATACTAACGTCTCCGTATCCATCATTATTCTAACAGCTGAGTTAGGCCACCAAACAGGCCCATTCGGGTACCACTGAGTATCCGAGCGACCCCCCGTCCGCTGATCAAATAAATGTGTAGGGTTTGCAAAACTTTGCTATCGCCATACCTTAGCCCCGCGATTACGATCAAGTTTGCAAAGGTTATCGACCTTAAGACTTCGAACCTTTCTCATCCAAAGTGCGGGGTAATCATAAAGTCTGCAGAAGTCATTAGATGGTAAGCCCAACCGCTCTCGGTTCCTGTCCAATAGAGTATGTCCTGTAAGAAGACCTATAACAGCAGATATCTCCTCTCTTTTAGCTCGATAAGGTCAAGTGACCTTCTTCTGTTCCACTCTGGTCATTATCTCCTATCCACATTACAGCCATTGAGATTTCTTCATCTTAAGTTAGCATCTTTAATGAATAACTCGCCTATATTGAGTTTACAAGAAGAGAGCCCAAACTTTTTCTAGATGACGAAAGTGGAAGGGGACGGGCAAGCTCATTCACCAACTCATTACCCCGTATGTTGCTGTGTCCAGGCACACATACCAGGTTCAAATGTAGTTTAGCCAAAGCGTTCAGTGATTGGCGGGGTTCTTAGTGAGAGGACCATAAATCTTTCGCAAAACCTGTCACTCGAAAACTAATAGGGCCGATTCAGCTGACGCTTTCATCGTCCAATCGTTTGCAGAAATAATGTGCGACTTCTAGAGCTCTTTATTTATTATCATTTGCCTATTAAGTGTAAAAGAAAGGAAAACAGATATATCAGAGCACTGAATGTTTTTTCCTGGTTCTGAATAGGTTGTTGAAGTTGTATGCTTCCACTTAGTTCATACCCTTACGGCATCATCGCACCTCCCCGGAACGTGGCAAATCATAAGCCGCATGCCATAACCACCTGGACCCAGGCTAAACATTTTAGAGTTTCATGAGAGACATTACCACAGTTAAGGTAAGGTTGCAAGTACCGGGGTTTTGGAGCAAGTAATTAGCACCACAATAAACAGGTTGTTCAAGGGCTTGAATTAGCAGTTTACAAAGCTTTTACCCTAAGGAAACACACCTCCTGATGCTCCCATTAATCCATGGTACTGCTCAGTAGCTTATACTTGTTTTAAGAAATGCTGGTATAGCTGATATAGTAATGGTCTCCTTGAGAACATAATAACGTTTTGAGCCTTGCTGAGTAGGCTATCCTTTATACACCTACAAAGTTAGATGAAAATGCGAGTTACACCCACAAAGATCGCATGAAGACGCCTGGGCATTTAATGCACACTACGAGTTATCTTGGCTTTTACTCATATTTTGCCCGCTCAGCTGATGGTGTTTGGTGGCAGCAAAGCGTTGTGGCTTTGTAACTGTTTGTAAAAGTTTGCCATAACTGACATACTAACACAGTAATACAATACAAATTATATATATTGTATTTTATATATATTTTAAGAGCTTTTTTTTTTTTTTGTTTGTGACTTTTTCTCTTTCTCTACATTGCTCAATTCACGGTGAGATCATGGCGAGCGATGCTCATCGCAACCCTTCGTGAACATGATGTTTGATGCTGCCACAACTGTAAACAGTACTGGTCTTACTGTTTCTATGCTCTTCTCATATGCGAAACAGTTACTCATTGCTATTGTTGTTCTTATTACTACAATATAACTGCAAATACAAACACCAACAACAACAATTTTGATTTTGTTTGCCTTTAGCGTTGTTGTAGTCAAAATTTGGCGAGCCAAATCTGACGGCAGCTAATATGAGTAGTGTTGGCAATACTGTTAACGATATGCAAACATACATACATCGATTTGTTTGTATTTGCATGCAAGTGTGCTGTTGCGCCGGCGCAATTCGCAATGTGGTTCTTCTGCTCAAATTTATGCAAGTGTGCACATACATATGGATGTAATTGTTTGTGTGTGTGTGTGTGTGTGTGTGTGTGCGTCTAGTGTTTTTGAATTGTGTTTGCGAGTGCATTTGCAAAATTTTCAATTTGGCGCCAAACATTCAGTTAGATGAACAAAGTATAAAAGGCGGAGAACTTTTGTCACTGACAGCATATCATTGCGAACAATAGATCGGAGTCAAGGCGTGCGGCTCCAAACGGATTTTTCGTTTAAATTTACCTTTTACTTCTATTTAAAAGTGGATAGCAGGATCACACTAAGTCCCAAAGAATAGTTGCAATAGTGAAAGACCAAAATTGCTAATTTTTGTGCAAACAAAAGTGTTTGGAAAGAAAAGCAACAAAAATTAAGACAAGTGTGCTGTTAGAGCGACACAACATTTTAACGGTGTGTTCAAATATTCCTTTTTCATATTGAAGAAAAGGACTTTTATATAATTTTAACGTTTTATTTTATCATTTGTGCAGTGTTTGTTTGTGGAATTGCTCAAGTAAAGGATTTGCGAGAAGTGACAATATGCTGAAAATGAGAGTGGTGAGTAGGATTTTTTTTTTCAAGTAAATACATACATAAATACAAATATAAAGTATTTGAAAATTTTGTAATTTAAAAAAAACTAAAACATCAAAAATGTGCTCATAAAGAAAAAAAGAATATAAACAATTTATTTACAAAAAATAAAAAAATTAATAATTATAAAAATAAAAGTATTAAATAATTGTCCAATTGCTTTGACAAATCCGCGGCCAACGAAAAATCAATCAAAAAACGTTGGTCATTCTCAAAAGCTATTTATTTAATTTCAAGATCTGTTTAAAGAAAACACCATAAGAACACTGAATATAAATCAAGAGAATTTATGAAGGATGAAACAAATTCTAAAATATTAGTTTTGGGTTCCAAAAGTTTAATCTTACCTTTACAAAATTTGAAAAATTATTTTTTCGCAAAAAGTCAGTAGTACACGTAGCATATGAACTTAAAATTTCGAGAAAAAATTTAAATATTTTTTTCAAAAACAAGTAAGTAAGATTCTTTGCTTTGGTGTACTCCAGATCCGGAAATCTTTTAAAGTTTAAAAACAAGTTTTGAACGTATTGCATTAAATCAAATAATACATGACTCGAAAATATTAAGAATTTAAAGAATGTTTTTTAAGACGCGATAGCTAAACATCTTTAGTTAGTCGAGAAAAGTTTTTAAAGAAATCAAGTTCAAAAAATAAAATAAAATTAATTAATTAAGAATTAAAATTAAAATAAAATAATTCAATATCAATAAAAGAAAAAGTAATAATAATAATTGGAAGTTTAAACTAAATAAATAAATAAAAAATATTATATAGTTTTATCAAAAAATAAATTAGTAAGTAAAAGCCACAGAGATATTAAAAAATTCTTTGAATCAAATCAGCTTATTAGTACGAAATCGCTTGATTGATTAGGGGTGACTTTGTCAGGTGCCGCAGTGTGAACTGCGTTACTACCGTCTATATGTTCCAAACTCTATAGAGATACTCTTCAGAAAAACTTATATTTACGAAAATTTTTTGTTCAACTTACAGCGAATATTTAGATTTAGCAAATTCCTTGTGGCCTTCGTGACCACTTTTAACACTTAGGAGTTTTCTAACTGCCACAATCAACCGAGCGGTGGTGCGATATTCAGAATATTTATGAATAAGCTACTTGCAGTACTATTTTTTTGCTCATATTTGAGATAAAACATAAATAATAAAATGTGTGACCTAAAATGTTTCTCAGCACATGACGCTAAATATGCCTGTACTCGATATTTACCGATGTGAACATTATTCGTAATGACAAGCTGGTCTAATATATATATGTACAACAGTATTTGCCAAACTTTATTTTATATATAAAAATATATACATTTTATTGGTCCCAATTAATCAATATCAACATTTTTCCAAAAGTAATTACATATTTTAATGCAAAACCAAAGTAGAAATCAATGACTAATTTATTTTATAATATATATTTAAATATGTATATACATACACATATGTATATTTGAATATAAAAAAAAAAACAATTAATAAATATATTTTTTCCCTTCGAATAATTTTAATTAAGCATGTACCTATCACTCGATTTGCTTAAATCAACAATGTCTATTTACATAATTACATGCTACTGCACCACTTTACATATTATGTACGTAGGTGTGCACATAATTTTTCGATTTTTATCACGGATCCACCTATCACTCCAGCACGTCATGCAATCAATTTGATATTTCCGACTCACTAAATGTCTCACTTCACACTCTGAAACAACCAAAATGTTGCTGCAACATGTATCTAGCAATACGAAAATATGCCCCATTGCATGTAGTAAAGCAGCAGCATATACACACAAACACACTTACAGGCATGTTAATAGGAAAATTCTCAAGCATTCGCATAAATTATTTAACAACCAATTTTCTCCCACTACGCAGACGTGACTCTGACTCTGACAGCGGCACAGTGAAGATACCGTAATATTCGTACTTAGTAGTAGGTAGTCAGATTTGATTTGCATAAATTAAAATTCTCGTGCGATTGGCAATGCGATTGCTGTTGTCGGCTTGTCGGTTAGCTGATTTAGCGGTTTAGCAGTTATTTCTTGATTGATCAATGTTGGATTTTAACAGTTCTTTTTGGGTTTCTTATTGTTCGGGAGCATCTGCATTTCTCAAAACAACGGAATTTCCTAATGATGAAATTTAATTGGTAAGAAAATGAGAAGTAAAAATGGAAATATAGGAAAAAATATTATAGATAATTAAAATAAATAAAATTATAAACATATAAAATTTATTAAAGAAACAAAATTATATCTAATTAAAATCAGAAGATAAAATTAAAAATTATATCCAAAAAAAAAAATTTTAAATAAATAAATACTATACCATTTATTAATTTTTTTAATATAATTTAATATTATTGTTATTCTTTATTTTATTTTCGTAAAAACAAAACAAATAAAGAAAACAATAAAATAAAGTAAAATTAAGTAAAATAAAATAAATGAAAATTCCATAAAATACTCTAAAATAAAATGAGATAAAATAATGTAATATCCAATAAAATAAAATAAAAAATAAAATAAAATAAAATAAAATAAAATAAAATAAAATAAAATAAAATAAAATAAAAAATAAAATAAAATAAATTAAATAAACGGAAAAAGAGATAAAATAATATAGTATACAATAAAATAAAATTAAATTAAATTATATGGAATATTATAAAAAAATGAAAAATATTAAATAGTATAAAACAAAGCCTTAAAAATATTAAAATGAAAAAAAATTAAACAATATATGTAAACAATATATAATATAAAATAAAATAAACGAAAGTAAAATAAAAGAAAATAATATAAAGAAAAATAAATAAAAAAATTATACAAAGTAATATTAAAATTATATATAATATAATATTATAAATCAAAAACTGTGAAGGATAAATTCTATAATATAAAAGAAAAAGTATAAAGAAAAAACAATAAATAAACAAAATTAAATTAAAGTGATTTTTGATTATTAATTTTATGTTTTTTTTTAATTTTTTTTTTTAATTTATAAAGTTATAAAATAACATTAAATTAAAAACCAAAAACAAAATGAAATAAAATAAAATAAAATAAAACGGAACAAAATAAATAAAATGAAATAACGTAAAATCATTAAAAAAAATTGAAATAATATAAATTAAAGTAAAATGAAGTTTTGGAAAATCAATAAATAATAATAAAATTCAGTAAAAAATAAAGTAAAATAAAAGATAATAATAAATTAAAATAAAACAAAATATAATACAAAAAAGTTAAAAGGAATGAAAAATTAATTAAAAAAGTATTAAATTTAGTTGCGACAGTTTCCAAAAAAATTTGAGGAAATATTAATTGGCTGTTGCAAGCGATTAATTATACTGTAAATGACATGTCAATCGGGAGAAAAAATTATTAAGTCGTAAAAGTAATTCAGTCGATAAAAGTTTTTATTAATACCGACGTAATGGTGTACATACCACACTGTAAACGAAATTCGGGATGGTCATCATCACCGAGTAATAGCATTTTTGACCTAATCTGTAACTCTATCGTTCGCAAAATTGCTTGCAAATAAAGGTGGAAAAAATTAAATGAACAAAAAATTAAAACGCGATACCCAGAAGCAGCAACAATAAGGAGGTGATGCCTGCAAAAAAAAAAAAAAAAAAAAAAAATATATAAAAGTTGTCTGTTGCTGGTGTGTCGAAGTGCAACAAAAATTAGTCACGATTCATGTGTTGCCACTGCTGTGCCGAGGCTTAAACTTGTTGCTAAAACCAATTTTTTTTCTTCTATTATAATTTTTTAATGTTGTTGCGGATGCGCTTTATGCAGCATTTGCTGCAGCTGCTGGCAATACACATGTACAACAGCAATTTTATTTTGTCTTTTTTTTTGAAATTTGATGCGCCGTTGGGCACAGGCGTCACCGAACTGCCCGTTGTTCTGTCCCAAATGCAGATACTCGCTGCAACATGGCTGTATGTAGCGTGTAGTGCAGCGCCAAGTTGTCATGCCACTTGTTTGTTGCTGTTGCTTTTGTTGCTGCTGGCAAATGTCAACTATTTAAATCGCATTAGTTTTTATTGTTATTAGTATTCTTTATTTGTTTTTTTATTTTATTTTATTTTGCTCTATGCACTATCTTTCGCGTTGCTCTCACCTCTTGGGTTAGCCTATTTTCCACGAGTTCGCTCGCATTCGTACGTAATGTTGACAATATTGCGCTATGCACAACAACAATATGAACACGTCTTCATTACATATGTAAGTACATACATATGTACATTCCAGCATGACATATTCCGCCACATATTCGCTGTCGTGTGGGATTCTTTTTATGACAGTCAGATTTTGTTGAATTTCATGGCGGAACTGACATTTGAAGTTGATGTTGTAAATAATGACAAAACTTGTTTAAATAATTAAAGAAAAAATTTTAAATAAAATAAAAAAAAAAAATTGCGCGATATTTAATTTTAGAGTTATTAGTTTTCCTCAGCTAGTCTGGGATAATCTTACCGCATATGCAATTAAATATTGGCAAGTACTATTGCCTAAGTAGCTGAGCTATTAAGTCATCGCAGAAGTGATAATTAGCTGTAGTTAATTGGATTGGCATAAGCGGATTTAGCAGTTTTGCATGAAATTTCAATAAACATGAATATTTGTGTGTATAATTGCTTTTTTTTCAATTTACCGCATCAATCTTCATTATATAACACACTTACATAAGTAGATATAATGCTTGAGAAGTTATGTATGTATGTCGTAGTTTTCTACGTGAGTGGATTGTCGTTTTCGTTTATTTAGCATTAGATGAAATTGAATTGAAAATGAATTAAATAAATTCTAAAGGAAAGAGAAATCAAGTATGTATATATGTACAAAAGTATGTGCATATGGAATTGGATAATTTTTTTTATACAATATATTGCTTCCTTCACGCATATAAATGTATTTGGCAATTAC